CTTATGTGTCTTTAAGAATATGGAATTTGAGTGGGAAAAGAAGTGATTTGAGTTTTTTGTTTTCTTTCTTCATGAAGCATGCATTTTATCTTAAACCAGCTCACTAGTGCGTTACATCTTTGGGTCAGACTGGGCAATATTAGGCCATTTGACCTAACAACCTGGGAACTTATGAATGGCAGTGATAAGATGCTGACTCCTGATATGGCTCTAATGTCTGTCACAACATGAAAGGTGTTCACTTGACTGACACAAGATAGAATCAGATCAACAAAAGACATGCACATCTGATTGACTGCAAGGTTGGAGAGCATTCAACTTAACAAGTAAAATAAGAAATCTGCCACAATTGTTTCCTCTCTTGGTATCAGCTTGGGAAGGGTTCCTTTGATAAATGGCCTTATTAAGATACAATTTGCATAGAATGCGATTCACCCACTAACGTATACAATTCCATTTTTAGTATATTAATAGGATTATGCAGCCATTACCACAATCTAATTTTAGAACACTTTTTTTTTTCATAGGAGTGGGGTTTGAACACAGGGCTTCATGCTTGCAAGGCATACACTCTCCCACTCGAGCCTACAGTTCAGAACATTTTTATCTACCGTGAAAGAAGCCCCAAACCCATTAAGCTGAACTTACCACTGTCTGTACCCCATACCCCAGCCATAAGTAACCACTAATATACATCTCTCTGTAGATTTTTCTGTAATAGGCAATTACCTTTAAATTGCCATGCATGACCTATCCCACTGAAATCCTTTTTATTTTCTTTACATTATCATAAGAACAAGGAAAAATGGGATAGAGCCCTCAAATGCATGGGTGGATATCCAAACAGTAGTAGCAGGATAAGCAAAAGAGATGTGATTTAGTCAGTAGCATCTGATGGTTTAAATAAAATCACCAAGCAGTGAAGCTTCAGAAATGGCAGATTGTAGTATCATTTACAAGAGTCCAGTGCTGATAATTTTAAATATAAAATACTTGAAGCAGGCTTAGATTGCAGATATTTCTTGTGCTCACAAGAACAGCCACACTTGCAACCAGGGCTATTTGCAAATTCAATTCCTGACTCACTGCTCACTCACGACCTGTGTGACTCTGGGCAAGTACAGGGATTAATGGTGGCACAGACTTCGTCGAGTCCCACATGTAATGTTGTGAGGACTAAGCTTGGCACATGGTGCTCAGTATATGTCACTGCTGTTTTATCACTTCTAATCATGTCAAATTCCAAAGTAGACTTCATGGAGATGTCAACTTGCCCCGTGCCACATTTGATGGGTATTTTCAAAGTATTCAAAGAAGTTTCCTGCCATGAAAGCAATGGCTGGGGACTGAAGATGCTGTAATGTAAAGGAGCAAGAGTAACATTGATCAAGTATGATTAAGAATAGACTGTAAGCCAGTCTTCAGTTACTTTATAGCCATGTGTTCTATAAATTACAGAAGTGCTAATTTATTATTCTCACCTAGCACTCGTGTAGCAGATTTTTTCCCTTTTTCTATATTAAAAGAAGAAATAAAGCTTAGATAATGGTATTACCCATGTGTAATAAAAATATAGTAGCAGAGCATAATGGAATATATATCATCATTTATAACTGAAATGTTTATATGCTAAGCATGTGACTTTTAAATCTGTATGAACTGAAATCGTGATTTGGTTTTGTGTCCATAAGTGTAAGGAAGTGTAACCACACCGATAATTCCATTACTTTCTCTTTAATTCCAATATAAAAAAAAAGCTTTTGCTAATAAGACTATGTTAGATAATTTTATTTCTTAGGTATTGTGTATTTTCTGTCCTTTAAAAAGTGTGGTGTTCAGTATTATTATGTCCCAATCAGATAACTCATGATACACAACATTTTCATACTTGGGAAATGTTAACACATTACATTCCTTATTTTAAGACATAAAAGAATTAGAGACAACACCTTTTCATTTTCCTTTGATGCTTGAAACAATGTAAATGATGTGGTTTGCATGCAACCCCATTTTGGGCCCCAGAGGCCACTCCATCATCCATCTGTATGTACGTCTCCACCCCAGGCTTTCTTCCTCTTGGCATTGTTTTGTATTTGCATGAAAATCATTATTTTTTTTTTGCATGAAGCGATCTGTAATGTTGAAGATAAATGTCTAACATACCTTGCAATATCATGTGCCATTAATCCTTACATGGTATTTTTCTTTTATTTTCAGTTACTGAAGTTTAAATATGCTTGAAATGTAAAAGTAGCATGAAACTGGAGTGATGCAAGAATATTTGATGCTCCTTTAAAGATTATCATTTTTTAACTGGGAGGATTTAGGGGCAATTTCCAACCTTTGGAGGCCAATCCTCAATTGCAATTAGGATAAAACTGTTGAACACAGGTACTGGGAGCAGAGTCATAAATTCTGAGATAGCTATCCTTTCTCCTGAGAATGTCTTTATAGTGATTTAATGTGAAATATATAATTTTCCCCTGACTTCACAAAGTGTTAAGTATTAAACATTACTTTTCATAAAGTCTTCTTACTGAGACATAAAATTAAGTTCTGCTGACTTTACTGAAAGGTCCTAATACCTAAAAAAGGAATAACTTACTGAATGACAACATTAACATTTTAGTACTTTAATGTTTCTTAAGTGACTATAATTACCAAAATGGATATTTAATAAAAGAGTACATGAGTACATAAACAAAGTAAGTTATTTGTACCATTTTGTCAAGCTTGAAATCCCTAAAGGCAAAGTAAATCCCACCAATGGGACAAAATGCATACATCCACACAAGGGCTCTTTCCTTCCTAGTAACCACCTTGCTGGCTCTACCAAGTGCCATTGCTAAAAGTGCTTTCAAATACCCCTTTCCAGATTACCTTCACAGCCTTTAGCACATTGATTTTAAAATCTGTGTGGGTAACAAACCTTGTTCCTTGGGGAATGATGCTATTTTTTTAGATAGCTAAAAGACCCAGAAAGCCAAATCAGTCAAATAAGGATAGTAATCAAGTTTATGAAATATTTTTAAATTACATGTGAATATGCATGGCCAATAGCTTGTAAAATGGCTGTGAATACATAACCCAAAGAAGCATTTATATAACAGCAGCAGGGGAATAATGGAGTTTTCATAAGAAGACTTCTAGACAAGCACATAATAAGCACTTGAATGAATAAATTTCAACTATAGTCTGTATCTATGCATTATTTTTAATTCAGTCTTGTTTAAACTAATAGAATGGTTTACAATTTTAAAGACAGTCATAAAGAATATAGCTGAGTGACTGTCATTTCTCCCTTGCTGAGTGTATGCCAAGTTAAAACCACTTTAATAGCTTTTGGTTGACTATATCCTGGCTGTTACCAACTAGCTCTGTAATATTGTCATGGGACTCAATCTCTCTCTGGGCTTTGGGCTCCTGCTCTACAAAATGAGGGCTTGAAGCTAAACTAGCTTTCGAATGAAAATGTCTTACCATAATTATCATATATCTGTGTGTGAGACTAAAATTATCCTATATCATAAAACTTCATGCCTCTCTGTACAATTTTCATTAAACCCAAGCTAAAATAACTCAAATTTAAGTTACTTAAAAAGATACCTAGCAATTGAGAATACTAGTTTTTCCAACAGTCTTTTCTACCTAATGATGAAATTTTTATAGCATTTTATGTTTATATTGTCTTATGTGAATCTAACAACCCAAGAACTGCTATCATTACTATTCTCATCTTGTAGATGAGGATACTAAGATTCAGAGAGATTGTCAAAGGTGACTAGCTAGCAAGCTGCAGAGCCAGGACAAAGATCTTCCAATTCAGACTTTTTCCCTCCAACACCATTTATCTAAGCAGACTTTGAGTATAAGGCAATTTTTACAAGGTGGCACGATTCAGAATTTACATTCCTTGAAAATAAAATCTGCCTTTAAAACCCTTCATAGGTGTCCACTTGCGTCACTACAGCTCTCTCTGCTTTTACAGACTAGTTGTTTTGTCAGCATGAGTGTGACAACAATTAGACGTCCCCTGTTTTTGCCCCATGCCTTTTCTCCTTCACAGTCATTCAATGACAAGCGTAAAAAGAGCTTCATCTTTTCACGAAAATTCCCATTCTACAAGAACAAGGAGCAGAGTGAGCAGGAAACCAGTGATCCTGAACGTAAGTAGATTCTCGAAGATAATGTCACATGCCACACAAGAGAAAACTATCCTTCACGGGCAACACGCATGAAATAGGTTCTCCCACGGCACATGCCTAGGCAAACAACACGGTAGGCAGGCAGGTCAGGTCTTACTACTGTGACCAGTGTTGGACTGCAGTCTGGACCCTTTCCTTCATGAGGCTCTTCTTTGTAGAAGGCACTGGCAAGGGACTTGCTGCAGCTCCCACCAGCATTTCTCTGTGACCAGGACAAGTCAGGTGTGCCTTTTCTGTCATGCAACTCTCTAGGGCTTGAGGCAAATTTCTCTTCTGGGCATAAATATTTGATTCCATTTCCACATAAATTTTTTGGAATGCTAGCTAATTGGGAGCAATTAATCAACATTTGTTGACTATTGGTACAATTGCTCACTCTTTCACTTCCAGAAAACATTAAAGACTTGCTGAGGAGTGAGCTTGTATTGGTGAATACTAAACTTGAGAATTCGATGCAAAATTTGGAGGGGATCATTCCTCTAAGTCGAACACTTCTGTGATGGGGGACGAAATGGAATTTGATGAATCACATTTTATTATTTTCATTTTTATTGTTTTTTTTAATCTTCTGCTTAAACCTTTCAAGTTGATATGCAAATCAGAAATTTCCTTCTTAAGTCTCAGCCCAGGGAGCTGGGGGTGAAAATTCTTTCAAAAGAAGAGCAAGTGGGATCCAGATTGTTCAGGCAACACGGTCTGTCATGGTAGTATCCATTTCAACTCCACTGACTTCTTCCTTCCTCTTCCGTGGCTGTTCTTCCTCTCTCATTGCTCTCTCTGGGGACTTCCATGCAGGACATCCCCGGATTAGGTGACGACGGTTATGGAACAAAGACTCTGAGTAAGTTTCCAGGAATGGTCACTGTAACTTTTCTTTTTCTTTCCTTTTGAGTTTGGCTTTTGTTCCTTTTCTTGAGGGCCTTTCACTCCTAGCATGCACAAGATACAAGTTTTATTTGTTACCTAGCTGTGAATGCTCCTACAAAATAATTTTCACTCATTTTGTTCTGCATGTCAGCATTTAAGCAAAGTGTGTCAGGCACTCTAACTTCTGTTGCAGTTAACACCTTCCCTTTCTGACCATGTGATATGGCCAGCATGGTCCTGATGTCCACTGCGTCCATCACTTGCTCTACTGCCTAACTCCTCCCAGAGAGCAAGAAACCATGTTGAAAGAAAGGGTGAGCTAAATGTTCTAGAACAGCCAAGTAGAAATATACTTCATGTGCTTTCTTCTGATTTTTCAACATGGAAATATTTAATGACCTTGCCAGATTCCATAATTGAGTTATACTTTGCGATTAGTAAAGGAGCTATTTTGTGATCAAAAGGAACATGCATTCTCAAAAAGTAATTATTAAGCTATTTGATCTTCTATGAATAGTTCTTCTTTATTAACGTTGATTGATTTTTTTTCTCTGACTTGCAGTGACCCTGCTTGAACCGTTTGTATGAGAAAGTTTTAGATATGTATTAATATCTTTTTCTATCAGCGATTTCTTAGCTATATTACATTAGCAGATCTTCATTTTGTAGTTCAGAATAATAAGTAAAAAAAATTAGACCTTTACATTTTCTGCTTATTCATGTCTTTGGTCTGTGTCTCATTGCACTTAGCAATTTAAAAATAATTATCATATGTATCAATATCCTAGACTGTGATTTTGCTTTTTTTTTTTAATACTAATTCATTTGTGCAGACACCAATGAAATGAAAACAGAACTTTGTGACTTTTGCAACTGTATCACATGTTCAATTTTATTTTGCTTTAATTTAGCTGCTATGGGCAATATTTTTAGAAGCTGATTGTTTCATTTTATAAAATAAAATAGCATGGAGCTGGGCTTAGCTTTCAAGGGCTATTTATATAACACCTTTCATAACTCAAGCTGTTGATTTGGAGTAGTTTTTTGTACATATGTATACGTAGGCAATCTGATCAAGAATACTAATCTCCTTAAAGATGGAAACTTTATCTTTGAATTACTATATAGAATATATGAAATTTTTCTTCAATTAGTGGCTAAAATTTCAATACAGATTTTAACACTATCTGCCTAACATCAAGCACCACCAGGATGAATTTCTAAATTTTCAATTTGGGAGGGAAAAGAAGCATTTTAATATATTGTTAATAATAAGCATCATTAATTAAACATTGTTATTGTGATTTTGTGTCAAAATGAGTGAAGCCCTTTAAATCCACAATGTCCAGGTGTGTTTTTACTCTTTAAAAATGGAGCAGCTTTAGTGAATAAAAATGAAAAACAAACAGAAAGCCCTGTCACCCCCAATTTGAGGTACATAAGATGATAATGTCCGTGAAGATACACTGTTGGTTATGCGTCTTGGCTGTCTTTGCAGTGAGAGAAAGCAGGCTTGCACAGGTTCATCCAGTCTCCTTTCCCTAGTGTCCAAATTAACTACGCACTTCTGGCCATAGATCCACAAAAAGAGAAATGATTTGTGTGAAATTAACTCAATGCTTAATTTTCATTAGCTTCACATTTTAAAACTAATTTACTCAGCTCACAAGAACGCTCAATATCAAAGCATTTTAAGGCACTTTTTTAGTGTTCAAGACTTATAGAATGTTATATATTTCTTTTCTCTTTTTTAAAAACTGAAGTATTACCAAGGAGCTTCAAAAATCAAATAGTCTCATATGCTTCATTTAACTAACGAATATATGAGGAAGGTGAAAAGCCAATAGGTTGATCTTAAACAGTACAGGTGAAAGAAAATGACTTTGGAAATAAAAGCTCTAATTCTGGTACATAACCAACACACACTTCTCTGTTATGTCAGCTAAGCTATGTTTGTATGAAAAAACAATTTGGAGTATCATAGAACAAACAAGCCATTCAGAATAAATTAAAAACATACTTCATGCCAGATCCTACACTGGATATCAGCCATTTATCTCCAGCTTGCTCCATTTCTTCCAGATTCCAATAGCTACCCAATAAGGATCTTAATATAAAAACAAGGAAATATGGAACTGATTCATGAAGCAAATCAGTTTTTCAGGACTCACTTCTTTCTCCAAGATTTTCTACTCACTCACTGAAGCAGGAAATACCAAAAATCCTTTTTCATCCTTAGCATTATTTCGCAAAGTATTTAAATAGAAATAAAATTCAAGGGATTCCAGGGATCAATTAACAATTTGAAATGCAGTGTTCCTGAAAAATAATTAAAGGCTAAAATAGAGAAACAGAAAAGCCTGCAAGAAAACAGGGCCTATCTCCCAGAAACTCCTGAATTGCTGATGAAGAAAGTAGTCAAGACACACTGGCCTTTGTAACACAAATCTGGAAAATCAGACGTATGAAAGGGTCTTGGTATTTATAAAAAGAAAAGTGTCTGGGTTGACCTAATTCATTTTTTTGTAATTAAAGGCACTTTCCTTATTTATTTGTTAGAAGGAAGAAACGAAGTCTAGTAGTAGTTTCCTGGAAATGGTGATAAAGTTTTCATCTTCCTTGTCTGATCTGAATTTTCTTCATGCAGTCTCTTCTGCGCCTCAGCCTCTCACTTGCCTTTTGCTCACGTTTCCTGTAGCCTTGCATGGGTGTATCCTTTCTGTTCTGGCTGCCCTCCAATGCTTGGTATCTCTTTAATTTGCTGTGCTGTTCTTACAGAACATGTTTCTTCTAATGCCAGCGATAGCGAAAGTAGCTGCCGTAAGTTATTGCTTTGGTTTGCAGTTCTTTTCTTTGCAATTGCTCCATTGCCTGTGGTGTCATTTCAGATTTTTATTGTTTTTCTTTTTTTATTGCTACCTTTCATCATCCTTATCCAAAGCAAATGGCTTGAAGTGAAATCAACATTTGATGCGAAATAATACAAAAGACACTAGGGCCATCAGTGGACCCTTATGTGATTTGTGCAGGCAGGAGCAGTCTTGTAACATCAGTTCCATTCTCAACTGGTTGTGACCCCATGATTTAATTCTCAAAGGGAATGTGCAAGAAAAGACAACATCGTGGATTTTGACATTTTACCCTCCCCCAAAACATCATGGATAAAACTCCCTGCAGGAGGGTAGAAAAGTCATCATGAGTTTATTTTCTTCCTCATTTTGCTTTTCCCCTTCTCTCGAGAGAATTTTTTTTTTTTGTAAATGTCATGTTCCTTTAAAATTGGGCATGAATCTTTTATATCACTTTTGCCGTGGCGAATATTTTAAGGTAGATACTGTATCTATGTATCTGACTTTATATGGGGGATAATTGGGAAAGTGATAGAAAGATTTCATCCTCTAATGTTGAAGGAACTCCCCCTTTTTTTTTTTTTTTTTTTTTTTGAAAATGTGAATAGATCTTCTTGCATCAGAAAGCTTAACTGGAAAGGTAGGTAACTATCTAAAAATTATTTCTGGTCTTTCTTTAGTCACCTCAAGCCATTTGATTAGTGCGTAGAAATATTCACCAAACATATCCTTTTGATCAGTTCTCGTGGTTTCTTACCATCTATTTAATGGTAATTAAGTGATCAATTATCACTGGGATCCTTGCAATGTCTATAATATATTAATTTTTTACTCTTTAGTGA